AATCCATGGTTCTGCGACACCAGGAATTTAGAGTAAGAGAATGAGACTTTTGAGATAGATACCAGAGCACAGATCAATGCAACTGTGAGCAACATGACCACAGCTGATATAATCTAAACTATTAGTGGTAGTCCAAAGATTGTTTCAGGTAGCAGAAACAGAAGGCGCCCATGAGATGAGCCATGTTGGCATGTCTTCAGCAGTACACCATTTAGTAAAAAGTTTAGAATAAAGGAAAACAATCCTCCTAAGCTTGGACTGAGCAGAAATCTGCAACACAAATGATTAAATGGGTACACAACTTGCCTGTAAAAAAAAAAATACAATATTCACTAAGAGTCTACAAAAGGTATTTAATGGACTGAAGAAGCATCATGCTGCTAAAGAATTCAAGAATGCCACCAGGAGCACATTGACAATATGAAGTTGTATTAAGACCTAGAACAAGAGCTCAGCCTGACTAGAAGCTAATATTAGGCATTTTGGAGTGAATTTAGACACAAAAATCAACTGTATTAAGAGTATGGCCACTGCAATAAATCCCAACAGGCTATGGATTTGGATTACAGGACTAATTAGGGGGTTAGAACATGGCTGTCAAATGCAAATGTTGCACCTTCAGAAAAGCTGAGGAGACCCTATCTAAACTTCCACATGGAAAGGTCATTCTCCTCTTTTAAGGCAAGCCAACAGGTTTTAGCAAGCCTGACTTGGTGCACCACACTAACAGAGCTCAATAAATTCAGCTCCGACTTGTGCGAGTGCCCCACTCAGCTTAAAATGCTTGAGGACAAAGCAGAATGGCACTGGGGCAAGCAAAAAACCCCACTTATGGAAAGATTTAGATCTGAATTAATGCAAGCCTACCTGGCTTGGGGGCAATCCTTCTGCAAGATGATCATGGCAAGCCACAGCACAGCTACCCTCAGATCAAAAATTGAAATGCTGGCTGTTGTTTTCAGTTGCATTGTGCTTTGTTCCATACTTGAAATTGCAAATCGCTGTTTGTTCTCTTCAGAGAACAAACTATTTTTGTTCAAGCATTATGAATCCAGTGTCACTACCTAAAGTCTAATATTAAAGTCTGGCAACACACGGTTATGGGAGCAGGCAAAAGAAAAACAGATCATTACACCTTTGGAACGTGTATTTCAAAACCTTGGTGTGACAATTTGTATAATGACTTCCATGAGAAATCAAGTGCCAAAGTAGTCATTAAACACAAAATACAAACCCAGTTAAGGTCTTCAGGTAGTATCCATGCTTTCAAGGTTACATGTAAACACAGAAAGCAAGGAAGATGAAAGTTGGAAGCTGGAAGATGAATTTGAAACAACAAGCCGTATCCATTTTCTGAACAAGAAATGACCAACACAAATGGGAACCAAAATGACTCAGTAATTCCATAGGGACAGTCAGGCAGATGAGATTGCCGCATATGGTGAAACCCCGTGCAAAGAACGGCATGCCACAATATCGTCACACAAGAGGGCAAAAATACTAAGCATAATCTCCACGCCTGCCTGGGTACTGAAGAGGCAAGAACACAAATAGAGATTTCTTATTCCAGTCAGGCATGAAATGCTGCCATCAGAGATAAGATACCCAAGCATGAAATCTGTAATCAATTCAGGAAACAAAATGCAAGATCAGCACTCCAGCCACATGAAATTCCTGATCAACTTTAGTCCAATGTTGGCACTGATCTTTTCAAATCAAACAAGAAAGACTACCTCTTATTGCAGCCTGCTAGTCCCATTTTCTAAATGGATCAGTTCCATGGCAGCAACAAGAACTTACTGCAAATTTTGTTCACAAGTGGGGTTCCAGATGAGTTGGCTACTGATAATAGTACAAGGTAGAAAGGTTCATTCTGGCAGTTTTTTGATCCACCAGTGTTAGCACACAGCAGACAGCCATTACTGTGCACAGCCTAATGGGTTTTCAAAAGCAGCAGTACGAATGGCAGAGAATTTCAGAAGCTTTTACTGTACCATAAGGACTCCACTGCACTAGGCACCGGTGCAAACTGAACAAGATGACCCACGCCCCACAGAGCTTGCAATCTAAATAGAAGATAAGAAACGGATACAGACATGCGAGCACAAGGAAATTAAGGCGGTATTAGTAAGTAAAATAGCCTGCAGTTACAGCACATGAACAGCCTCATTGTGAAGGGGTTTTATATGCACAGTACAGGGGATTTCTAATTACGATAACGAAGCTGCTTTGCATATGTTTACGGAAAGCCCCTCTCAAGTGTGAGGGGCAGCATGGGAGAAAGTATAAGGGACCTTATTTGAAATGTGTAACAAGCAGGTGACAGGAAACTGGTACCATGGGCTAACCATAGGTAGGAGCTGATTTCTTGGTATAAAAAGCTTTCCTAGATTCAGAAATCTGTTCTGAGCATTGTAAGGTATCATAATAGCCGACAGTGCTTTATTAGGATCATCCAATGCTCAGGCACTCGTAGGCAGGAGGGCAAAAATCTTAAAGCCAAGTATGTACAAGCTTCTTTGCCAAGCAAATGCTAACCCTGAGGTAGCTGCAAGAGTCCTACACTGGGTTGGCCCTCCCTGGCTTGACCTTTTAGACACACATCATGAAACTCAAGCAGAAGTGAACTGGTTACAACTATTACCCCTTCTGAAACCTGCCATAGTCTCCCACTTGTCCAAAGGCCAGCTGACAACCTCCCAGGTCACTATAATATCATCTGTAGCCATCCATCCCCAGACCTCACAAGGACTAGTCCTGCAGGAAGAACAGAAGCAGCCCAATAAAAACAAAGATGATCCTGGCTCTGGTCCCCGAGAGCACATTGCTGACAGCAGAGCATACACATGGACACTGATCAGGATAACAACGTGGGCCAGAGTCTCAGGTGGCATGAACTGAAGTCAGTGGAGCAATGCCAGCTTACGCCAACCAACCAACCCGACAGGCCCTAAGCAACAGATCCGCCTCACTTGAGCACTGCAAGAGCAATACTGTAGCTCTGATCAGAAGGCTGCTGAGATCCAGAGAGACAAGAAAGATGTCTCCTGTCCAGTGAAAGACAGAACAGCTTCCCCTGACCTAGACATCTCCATTGGCACTTGTTACTAACTGGATACATTCATTTGCAGCTAGTATTTTGTTTTAAAAAATTAGATAATGTGCCAAAATAATTACCCTTTGTAACCCTTGCTCCTATTGGGTAACTGGTATAAGACATCCAGCACTCCCATTCCTTCCACGTGGTAAGGACAGAGCTATCACCAGCATGAAAAAAAATGCAATTTGATTTAAAACTGAAATTTCAAAAATCATCCTGTCACCCAGCTAAAACATAAAGGACCCGATCCAGACTTCTGGTGTGGTCACGAACACTTTGCTACTGGCCTGCAATGAGAGAAGGATCAGAATGGGAAGGTTGGACACACAGTACATTGTAACAGCAACCTCCAGCTGCAAGCCTTCTGATGAATGGATATTGCTAATCATCTCTCTGCCAGGAATAAATCTGCGAAATCCTTAAGGGCCACAGAAGAAGACAGATGCCAAGGTAAATACTACTTGGCAATGCAATGCAAGGAGAAAAGGATAATGCAAACTATAGCTACAAGTAAACAGCAAGGAAGAAACTCACTCCAGCATGGTGGGATCTCCTGATCCCACTGAAGTCCACGTAAGCCTTTCTACTGAGTTCATTAAGGGCAAGAATAAGTACCACTGCAGTCGGGGAACAGGATGCCGGGGATAAGGAGACACCCGAAGTCTGGTACACCCCCTTCGATCTAAGGGCTTGATCCAGCAGTCACTCAAGCTGATGGAAAAACTGCCATCGATTTTGAAAGGCGCAAGCTCAAGCACAAGCGACTAATTGCAAGTAGCAGCTTGCGTTCAGCATTCTTCTTCACCACCTTTTTTCTTCATTATAACGGTCATCGTTTTGTCTAATTACACACATTTCCCATGTTAATTTGCTATCCTAATCTTTGAAAACAGGGATCATATGAAAACCCCAATTCTTCCCATCTACCTAAGAGAAACCTACTCTAAAAACTTGAGACTTATCAGTGCCTGCCATTTCCTGATGTCATTACTTGGCTTGCAGCCACCTTCCCTTAGGAATGCCCCTTTGCTACCTGGAAAACATTTTGGTCCGACCTGCTTGTCTGGTAACACGGTCCCACTAAGCTCCGCTCGCCGGCCCGGCACAGCATTTCTTTTTCTTTCCTGTTGCGACGAGCACGTTCACATTTTCCTGACTTCGAGCCCATTCAGAGCCCCCGTTTCAGTAACGCCGCGCTCGCACTGCTCCTTCACGGGGGACCGCCAAGCAAACTGTGTGTGCATGTTGAGGAGGGGGGTGGGCAGGGAATCACATTTCCCCCCATAAATCTTCCCACTGCTAATGAGCATCCCAACAGGGATTTTCATGAGTGCGGTGGGTTTTTATAAGACCATCTCTCACCCCATACTGTCTTGACTAACTAGGCAGAGCATCCCATTCAGCGGGCGAACTCTGGGCGCCCAGCCCCAGCGATGCCATGCACAGCTCTTCTGTTCCCTTGGCCACAAGTCGGGCTGGACGGGCACCTCGCCCGGGGCGCCTGGCACCTCCAACCGGGCAGCAGGCCCCTCTCCCTGCCCCGCACAGCAGCAGTCTCTCTCCTGCAGGGTGAGGATGCTGGGGATATAAGAGGACCCCCAAAGTCGGGGGCACCCCCTGGGATCTAAGGACTTGGAAAAGCCTGCCATCAGCAGCAGCTCTGCCCCTGCCAGCCCCACGCAGCCCGGGCCC